AAGCAAGGTTGGAAAATAAGGAGATACAAGCTTTCGATGCAGGCTTTTCTAGCTAAAGGATCTGTGGCAAAACAACATTTTTTCAGAAGTACCTGCTATGCAGAAGGGTTACCAATATTTCAGAGACACTTAACTCCATAATCCCTAGAAGCATACATGATGAAGAATATTTATGATCCAGCTACTTCCAGCAAATCAATAGATAGATATATGTATGACCTTCAAGCACCCTAAATCCTCTCCTCCACACTCATTTACAAAAATGTAAATAATGTATTACATAAAACCTTAATTGCAGTCTATTCCTCAGCTTGGTGGCTGAAATCCTTCTTTCACTCCTTGTTTGTTCATTTCAAACTTTAGTTTCTCTTCCTCTGCTCACTGCACCTTCCTCACATGAAGGTGAGGGGTGAGTCAGCTGCCTACCAGTGGGTGAAGAATTCATTTAAGTGCATCTTAGTCCTGAGCTGAGATGAACAAAAAGCACTGCAATTTGCTGTTTGGCAGTCTGGGGGCCCTATGGATGTGTCCAGGGTTTCCCCTTCCCCACCTTCATCAGACATCTCTGTTGACTAAAGAGGAGGGAGAGAGGGTGTTCAAGCACAGAATAGATGGTAAAAATCGCTGAGGGGCAGATCCTAGTGCAGAATTGTAGCATTAGGGTCCCCTTGATGCTAAGGGTAAGTCAAGTCAGGTGGCTCCAAGAAAATTCTGGAGCAACTATGTTCATCGAAAATGATGATCATATTTGGGAACAGTATTTCTCCCTTCAGAAATGGTATGATCTCATACTGGTTTTGGTGTTCAAGATCAATTAGTTTAGCAGGTGAAAGAACAAGCCGTAGAAATGAAATAAGCTCACCTAAGAGAGGCTAGCTTACCACTCAAACATCAGAAGGCTATAAGTGCAGGCACATGCAGCAAAAGCAGCAATGTCGGAGTTTCACAGGAGTAATGAAAACCTGCTGTGGTCTCTTTTTGAAAGCCTAGCTGACTTGGCCAGATTAGAAACTACATCTGGAAGTATAAGGACATTTTTTACACAACTTAACTAATTCATAGCAAAGATAAGGTTTCTCCATGTATAGTCTATTGCAATTGCTATGATAATCCATATTTACATGATATCCTGCATTCAGCACCCAGATACCAAGACACAGTAATCCAGGAATGGATCCAGCAGTGCCGGGATTAGCTTAGCTGCAGTATATCCCTAAAGAAAAGGGCTTTATAGGAGGCAAAGGATCTTCCTTAGAGAAGACCAATCAACCTGCAGTGAGACCAACAGTGACAGGGAAGACCAATTTGTGGCACAACTGGACTGCTTCCATTAGCAAAGAACCATCCAGGTGCCTCTTTTTTCCTTTTCAATCCAGTAATTGATTTACTCAAAGCAGCTGATGGTCAAACAGAAAAACTGAAACATGTTCTTTTACTTTAAATGTGTATGGATCCCTATTTCCTTCAAACAAATTCCCTGGCATCAGTCAGGTCCCAAGGAGCTCACGTGCGAGTACCACAGTACACCAGGAGTGACTGCTGAGGACCCAACAGAGCGGTGAGATGTCGGATAGTTAAACAGACCCTGGGGCCATCTTTGCTGCTCAGCTCTGTGTAGGAGGCTTACAATTTGGAAAAGCCTCTCTAAAGAAAAGCAGATTTCAAGGGTTTACTGTCATAGCTAGTACTGAATAGCCAGTGTGACCAAGGAGAGCAGAACGTCTGCCGTATGTCTACAGGTATCACGGGCAGTTGAAGACACATAGCGCTACAGCTGTGAACAAAGAGCACAACATTGTGATTTTGTGGTGTGAGTCTCACAGGGAACCAGAGTGTTTTACCCCTGCCTCCAAGTTAATTGGTGCTGGGTTAAAAAGTTACAGAGCAGTCAAAAAGAGATTGATTCATTTTAATTATGAAGCTTCATACACAGAAAATGAGAAGTACTTGACAGATTGCCTAGCCCCCAAGCTTGTCCAAGAAATTACTTACTGCTTCACAAGGTTCCTCACTGTTATTGCCTAAAATATTAATGTAATTATCATGCAGCCAAAGTGTTTTGAAGGATGAAAGGAGAAATAAAATAAGAAAAATAAAAAATACCACCCACACTAAACCACATCAAACAAAAAAACCCACTAAAAGTATCTGTACCTCCAACAATTAAGACATACAGCTTTCTGGGCAGTAAATTTTATCAGTCCCTGACATCCTATTAAATCAGTTGTGAAATTGTTTGTCAAGACCTGCACACACACATTATTACACATAGCTCTTCTCATCAGAAATCTTTCAGCCTTTGTCATTTTTATTAATCTTCATTGTGTACAGTAATATCAATCACGAGAGTAGTTATCACTCCCTAAGCACTTGAGGCAGCAAAAGGCAGCATCAGAGTAGTCGCAACATCCTGGCCACAGGATGCAGAGGCGCTGAGTTTAAGCTGCAAAAGAGACTGTTACATACCTGCACCAACCAGACACTGAATCAGGCTGTTTGAGCCAGGGTATGAAAAAGAGCTAAGGATAATCCCCACGAGCAAGACTAGCAAGAGAAACTGTCCTGATTGAACCACGTCACCCAGATCACGCCCTAAGTGTTGGGCCTGATGGCTGGGATATTTTCCTAGAATCATTTAGGTTGGAAAAGACCTTTAAGATCATCGATCACCATTAACCTAGCACTGCCAAGTCCACCACTAACCATGTCCCTAAGCACAACATCTACACATCTTAAATATCTCCAGGGATGGTGACTCAGCCATTTCCCTGGACAGTCTGTTCCAATACTTGACAACCCTTCTGGTGAAGAAATGCTTCCTTATATCCAAACTAAATCTCCCCTGGCACAACTTGAGGCCATTTCCTCTCATCCTGTCGCTTGTTACTTGGAAGAAGAGACTGAAATCCACCTCTAGGAACCTCCTAGTCTGTTTCCTCTCTGCTGTATTGTATTTCCAGTAGACATCTAGTAAGTTGAAGTCCCCCATGAGAACAAGGGCTAGTGATCATGAGACTTCTCTCAGCTGCTTATAGAATATTTCATCTGCCTCTTCATGCAGGTTGGGTGGTCTATAACACATTCCCACCATGATATCTGCCTTGCTAGCCTTTCCCCTGATTCTTACCCATAAACACTCAATGCTATCACCACCATCATTAAGCTCTAGACAATCAAAACACTCCCTAACATACAGGGCTACCTCACCACCTCTCGTTCCTTGCCTATTCCTAAATAGTTTTAGTAAAACTAAAGAGTTTTTAGCATTCCATTGCAGCACTCCAGTTGTGCGAGTCATCCTATCATGTTTCCATAATGGCAGCTATATCACACTTTTCCTGCTGCACGATAGCTTCCAGTTCCTCTTGTTTGATGCCCATGCTGTATGCATTGCTGTAGATGCACTTCAGTTGGGCTATTAATCCCACCACCTTTTTTTGGGGAGAAGCCCTAATTCCTACATGACAATTCTCAGGTGCTTCCATGGTTTCTAACACATCAATAACCCTTGTGTCTTTATCTCCATCCCCTACCTCCACTGAGACAGCAGACTGAAGGATCTCACTAACACACCATCCCTCAAACATTGATGTGCTTATCTCTAGTGAGCCTGGTTTTATCCCTTTCCCCCTGTAAATCTAGTTTAAAACTCTTTCAATGAGCCCTGCTGACTCCTGTGCAAAGATGCTTTTCCCTCTTTGAGACAGATGTACTATCTGTCACCAGCAGGCCTGGTGTTGTGTATGCTGACTCATGATCAAAAAAACCCCAAAATTCTGCTGGTGACACCAGGCTAAGTGTCAGGTATTGATCTGCTGGCTCTTCCTGTTTCTTCCCTCATGATTCCTTGCAACTGGAAGGATAGAGGAGAAAATTGCTTGTGCTCCTGATCCCTTAACCAGTCATCTCAAGGCCCCGAAATCTCTTTTGATTGCCCTTGGACTTCTTGTTGCCATTTCATTGCTGCCTACCTGAAAAATCAATAAGGGATACTAATCTGAGGGCTGCAACAAGGCAGAAAGTTTTCTCTTCACATCTTTAACCCAGGCCCTAGGGAGGCAGCAGACTTCCCTAAGAAGTGGGTCTGGTCTGCGAATTGCACCTTCTATTCCCTTCAGAAGGGAGTCTCCTATGACAATGAGTCATGTTTTTTTCTTTATGAAAGCAGTTTTGATGCACAACATAGGCTGACTTAATCTCGGCAACACCTCCAAGCTAGATGAACTCATCATCCTCGTTATTGTTTGGTTCCACTTGCAAAGCCTCATACCTATTTTGTAAGGATATCTGGAAAGGTGGGGCAGTCACAGAGGAGACATGCCTGTTGTGTCGGGCAGGAACTTGTCACCGTTGCCCCCATATCTCTTATGTCACTGTGTTCAGCCAGGTGCAGAGAGGATAGGGGATTCTCCTATCATGACCAGCCAGGTGCAGAGAGGATAGGGGATTCTCCATATCATGCATCATGACTGCCTTTTGGGCCTACCCCAGGGAAGGCAAAGTGCAATTCCAGTAGTGTCTCCCTTGCACTCTGTGTTGGGTTTATGCTGTGGGGTTTTGGTAGCAGGGAGGGGCTACAGGGATAGCCCCTGTAAGTAGTAGCTTAGTTGCCGCCTGGGGCTAAAACACACCACACTCCCTTATACTCCTCAACCTACTCACCTCCTCCTGGAGCTCTGCTACTAAGCAGAGGAGATCCTCTACCTGAGCGCACGTCCCACAGGTATGCTCATGTCCAATACAGGTAGAAGAGTAGGGCACACCCTGCAGCTTGACACTTGGGTGGCAGGTTGGACCTATGATGACTATGTAGAATTCCCAAACTAGTGTAAGCAGATAATTTCCTAATGAAAAATGAATGCTGTCATTTTGAAAACACTTCTTTCCAATAAGGTTTCAAAAGAACAGCCATGAAACCCTAATATATGAATCTCTAAAGCTCATATGTAGCCTTCATTCTATTTGCTCTAAGGGGAAAAAAAAAAAAAAAAATCTTTTACCTGCAGTTTTTGTTCATCTTCCACACCTTGCAGCCCTGACAGACGGTGCTCAGCCTCATCCAGCCACTTCATTAGACTGTCATGTTCCTTCTTATACTGGGAAAACACTGGAGAGAGTTCCACCACCTGCCTCCTTTGAAATGACCTGCACTCCTACAATCCAGTGTATTAGCAAAATATGGTATAAGAGGGAAGTAATGAACAGAATAGGTCTTATTTATTTGAAAACTAAAAATACTTGAGGGATTTATTTGAAGAAGCAAATTCCAAAATATGCAATAGTAGTCATTTATTTTTTTAAAATAGCTATATTCTATATATCTATACAGACATGTAATCAAAGCCAGCCTGAGGGTCTTACCCTGCCTTTGAGTTACACCTCACCTTACCAACTCTAATATGATTCAATAATAAGTAAGAATACAGATCCCCTCCGTTCTACACAAAACCACTTTTAATATTCTATGTGTAGGAACACACCACAACATACTAGAGTCCACAATTGCTGATAATATGCTTTTATAGGAAGCAAGAGGAATTCAGGAGCAGACTCATTCACACAAACATCTACAGCTAAGAACTCAATGAATATGTTTCTGTACATGTGTTTATGTAGTCACTCTTAACATAGCCCAGGGTCGTGAAGACAAACCTCTGCTGAAGGGCCAGCAAAGATGAGTGAAGCTAATGTCCAACTGTCTGCACCCATCTGTGTAAATACATAGAGGGTGACACTTTGTGAAGCTATGAAAAGGACTTCAAAAATAAAAAACACTCCCCTAAAACTTTGGAATGACAAAATTTGTATTTTGGAATTGCAAAGATTCAGAGAGTCAGACTGTGTGTACATACATTTAACTCTTTTCCAGAAAATATTATACACTAGAAAAGTCATAACCAGGTTGCAAGTGGGATACCAAAGGGAAGACTGCATAAATGATTATGATAGTTACTACAGTTAAAGCTCATACCTGCACACTGTTGTACTTTTTCTGGAGAAGCAACAGCTGTATGCGGATCGTCTCTCTTTTATGGTCTTCCATAGGCTGCTGTAACAACTGCCCTCCTCTCTGTAAAACTTCTTCAATCTGAGCTCTTTCTTGATCCAGCTAAAATTACGCAAATCTGTATTATCTACAGAAAGCTCAGCTATGATTTCCAAAACAAATTTATTACCTGCTCAGATATTAACACTAATGGTACCAAACTGCTGGTTTACTACCCAAATGTGACCCAAACAAATTAAATCAGAGATTCTCCTCCACAACTACCAAATTCTAAAATCCAGCTTGGTCATTCCATAAACTTCACAGAGATGCCCTGCAGGAAGCTCGCTCAATAAGCCAGCAGTAGGCACCCACAGCAAGAGGATGCAATGGCGTCAGCTCCATTTCTATTCTAAACATTCCTTGACAATAAATAATGAGCAAGTTCAGAACAGAAGAGCAAGAAAACAAAAACATAATATATATAAAAACAGCACAAAGGGAAGCACGTGTTCTATAACAATAGGTCCTTCCATAGAGGCCTTTAAAAATAGTTTTCTGTGGTATATATGCTATTTTCCACAGACTTATATTTAGCTTTCCAGCTCAGTTTATAATATTTCATGTGCTCAAAAGGAAGGCTGATAGGGTGGCCTGGCAGGAATTAACCCAATTTTGTAGCCAAGAAGGATATTGTCGACAAGATGCAGACTAATGTATGACAGTTTTATACAGGTAAATAGCAGAGCCCAGATAAGAATCTAGAAAAATACAAATTTTGTTTCAAGTTCTTATTTGGACTTGCTATGCGCCATATTACAACATTTTTATCTGCACTTCATCTCACAAGCACCCACTGATCTGACCCATGCACTGTGATTCAATATATCATACAAGCTTAAATTAGAGTGGAAAAAAAAAAAAAATCTACCCAATGCCCAAAGATTAGAGGCCCAAAACTGCCAAATACACAGTAAGAGTCTCAGCTGCATTAAGTAATCATTTCAATATAAGTTCATACAGTTAGATATGAAGAAAAAAAACACTCTTGCACCCTATTACTTTTACAGGAATTATTCCTTATAAACAGGTACTTTGAGTAGAAGAGAAGAAATAAATCAGAAACAAAGTTCACTACCCAAATTACATAAAACCACGATGAAAATACATACTGGTGTATGACCAGTTACTCTCAATGCACCAGTCAAGAGGCAGCAGCTATGGGAAAAGTATGGGAAAGTTGTGCAGGGTTTCCAACAACCTAGTAATTCCCTTTATTTTCTATGCCTGTCTTCGGAAAAATTTTCTCAGAACTCCCCCTCAAAGTCAAAAGGAATGTAACATACAGACAAAATAGAAAGAGTTAGTCAGTTACTTAATTCTTTCACTGCTCACAAACCTTTTCATCTTCCCCACTCAACTCCAGATGCTTTTCTACAACTTTTAACATATTCTGTATGTCACACTCAAATTTTTCCAGGTCTGGAAAGCCTACTCTGACTTCACGGGGCTCGGACATGACAGGAAGTCGTTCTTGTCCAACAAGCATCTGCAAAACAAAGTAAAACTTTGTTCAAGCTGAAAATGTCATCTGAGCTGTCACAAACAGTTTAATGACTTAAACACATTCTCCATGAACAGGCATACCTGTTTGTACAACCATCAGACATCAGCATAAAAAAAAAATTGCAAGAGTTGCTTGATCTAACCCTGAGAGTTAGCTTGGACACAGTACTGGTAAGTATTACTAAGCTTCTCCCTTCAAACTTCAATCTGAGCATTTTGGTCTCAAAACAAACAAAAAACCTCCAAGTCACGTTAACTTATCATGTTGTTTTGTAGCTCATATAAATATGTACTGCAACATATACATTTTTTTCTGAATCTTTAAGACACACAGTTGTTTGTAAATTTTCCCTTGCAACTCAAGTCATCACCTGCTACTCAGGCAAAAAAAGTAGTTGGTCTAAAACTCAGTCTATCCATTTTTCACATGCAAATACCTGCACTTGAAAAAGAATCAAACGCAGAGAAGTGCTGTTCTAACACAAAGATCTATCCTCTAAAGCTATTTGCCATCATTTTGGCATAGACCCCCAAGTACGTTTTGGGGCTCACTCATCCTCACCTTGGCACTTTTGATGTGCTGAGAGACCTTCTGAAAGTTGCGGTTCAGTTCTGCCAGTTTGGGTTCAACAAGTTCACGGCATGACACCCCACGACCATTCATCAGGATAATAGCCTGATCACGCACATTATCCACTCTCAGACTAACATCATCTAATTCAGATGTTAAGCGCTAAGAAGTGAAAGAAAATGCAAATGGTTACCCTAGGAAATGAAAAAATATTGGAAAAAAAAAATCCAGGCAGCAAACCTGAATTGACCTCATTTAAAGTCAAGAAGTTGTTACTTGGCAGCAACATTTCCTACCTTCACAGTTTCCTCCTTTTTGCTTGCTGACTTTTTCTCAATCTCATCCAGCAAGGCTTCAGCCTGATACAACCAAGTACTTATGTGGGCAACATTTTCATCAAATATTTCCAGCTGGCTCTGATGATTCTGGTAAGAGACATAAAAAGGTATCAATGTGAGAAACTTTAAAAAATTCCACAAAAAAAATCCCCAACACAAAAAACAAACACACCTACACAAAAAAAATACCACAAAAAACACCCCAACACCACAAACACCTTGCCAAAACCACCATTATGAGTAAAAAGAAGATCAATGAAATAAAGTGTTATGGATACACCTTGGAAAGGAACACTGAAAATGAGATCGCACCTTTCATCTGCAATAAGTATCTACAAGAATTCAATTTTCATTCTAGACCCTTCGATATTATTGTTCCTAATCCATAGAAAGGGAAATAGAAATAGCTGAGGTGGCTTGTACAACTAAATACAGACAGACAGTGTATTACAACATTACAGACAGACTATAATGTCTCAGGCAACAAAAAAACTCATGATTTTTTCAATTATCACTAGCAGATACAACAGTAGGCATTATATCCAGCTGTTTGGGTTTTTTTAATTGAAAGGAGATGACATCAAAATCTACAAGTTATAACAGTCAAGTTTTGATATTTTACTGATTACATTAAAATATTTCTTCCTCTTAAGAAAAGTAACCACACTGTAGACATGTTAATTAGGTCTGCTTTCATAAGTAGCCAGAAATCGTAACATTAGGTGCCACAGACAGAAACCACACATTATTCTGCATGATAAAGCAAAGCTATCAGATTCAGAGAAGTATCTTCCTGCTTAAGCACAGAGCTGCTTACCCAAAAAAAGGGTACCTAAGCTTTGATCTTTTAGACTAACAAAACAAAAGGAGGAGAGGGAGAGAAGGCCTATGATTGCTCTCTATATGACATCAAGAAATTTGTATCTTCACCTAGTGAAAGAACAATTTAACCTAACAAAGTCAGCACAAGGACAATATTCATCACCAGACATGAATATAATTTAGAAGGCTTTTAGTTGTGGATCATCTTCACAGCACTTACAAAGAAGGTTAAACTACCTGACTGCTCCTAACATGGACATCATTGAATTATGAAACAGACAGTGTGATCTGCAACAGGTACTGGACAGGATGCACAGGGCTCACCATCTAGGTATTGACCAAAGTTTCCACAATTTCAGGCCATATGAGGGGCTTCTGAAGGTGGACTATCATAACTAGCTGAACAACCCAAAAATACCTTAACTATCTGAAAACACCAGTCTAATACTAGCATCAATTTTAGACTGTTTCATGTCCATTTAGCAAAACTTGCAGCTTTAGGCTGTATAATATGCTTAGTCTTCCATTTACTCAGCCAAACAGATGATGTTGGCCTCAAGTCTGAGTTGGCACACTCTTAAACACTTGCAGTTATGGGCTGTCTGAAAGAGCAGTAGGTTGACAGAGAGTCCCAAGTGCCTTGCTGAACATCAGTAGGAAATTATCAATTGTCCATTAAACAGCCATCATCTGGATTTCGAGGAAACATATCACCACAAAAAAGCTCTGTTCGTGCTGGAGCTGGTACAGAGGTTTCTTTCAGGCTGAATGAAGAGCAACACACACAGCAGCCTCATGCAAACCAATCCTTTCGGGTTAGTTCCTTTTGTTTTCTACTTATGTTAATAAATTCATGAGCTTATAGAAAGTTACGTGGACAACAGGAGACCCAACTTCTGGGCTCTAATTATCCTGTTATGAAACAAACCACACTTCCATAACCTGGTGGGTTTTTTCACCTCTTTTTAATCTGGCAGAATCTGCTAGTACTAGCTAAGGAATAAACCCATTATCAGTCTTATGAATGTTTCTACATCCCATAACGTACACAGTCTATATGTGATGGTGGATAGCCCCTTTCAGGATAGTTTATAAAGTTACTTCCATGCACCAGGGTAACAACATTTGTATTAAGAGCTACATAACAAGCAAACACAGAAGGCTAGCACTACTCGTGTCGCAAAAGAGAAAGTGATAAAACATTAACAGCGAAGAGGTACAAAGAGGTAAATTGTAAATAAGGACAAAAGATTAAAAATGTAATGTGATGGCACATAAAAGGGGGAGGAGAAGAGAAAGGAAAGAAATAAATTAAACCAACAGATGTGTGAAAGGTGTTCAGTAAGCACATGCAGGATTTTCTATAGGAAAGAGGAATTACACCACAGTCTAGGGAGAGTAAGAACCAAGAAAAGAGTCCTAGCACCGAAGCCAGGAGAAAGAGAAAGGCAAAAGAAAAGAAAAGTTAAACCTACAGTTTTATTCTCTGCAGCTTGGTCAAGTTAACTGTCTGCCTGGGATATTTACATAGTTTCATCACTCTCATATCCAGATTCTGCACTTTCATCTCCTACTCACTGAGCAATAGCCACTACTACCAAGGACGTGGTACCAAAGTCTATCTGCACATCTAGAACACTTGCAGAACAGTTTCCCCACCTTCCTCATTGTATGGAGCCTCACGACTCACCTCGTCATCTACAGAGTAACTAGATACTCAATTCTGCATTCCTTTAAGTCCATGAGGCACCATGGAAGCTTCACATCACAGCTAAGTGAGACAAATAAAAACTGTGACTGCTGGAAAGGTGTGGAGGGAGACCCACCCTGAACATTTGTCACACTTGTGACTTACCAACAAGGTGTCACACCAGTCCTCAGTCCAGGTCCGAACTCTGCTCCAGCCAGCATTAAGAACACACAGTTTCTCCTCCAGGGAAGTCTCGCTCCCTTCCACCAGAGCCTGGAGCGCAGTGCAGCTTTCTGTGATGCTCTTCAGATCAGCTTTCCTCCTCTCCAGCTCTCTCAGCACATTCTGAAACAAGAGGAGACATTAACACTATACACTGCTCCCTATCACCAGGGCAAGGGAGTCAGATTTTAACCTCCACAGGAAACAAACAGTATCATAGATGATCTTCACTTGGGAAAAATCAAACCAAGTAGAATCTCCGTCTGTTTGTACTCACTCTCTGTAGATAGTGATTTTTATTTTTTTTTTGAGATAAGTGAGAGCACAATGCATGGAAGTGTCCTGAGTAACAGCTTGATACCTTTTTTTTTTGTTCTTTTATAACATCTTTGCAGTTCCTTTTCATTACGAACATAAAACAAATGCGTCATATCACATTACAGGTGCAATTTTAAGAGGTTCTTTTCTGCACTAAGTACCACAGAGAATGTAACTTTCAAGAGACACTTTGAATTTCTCTCTGTCTTCCTATTAAAGTAGTTTTACAGTTGACAACAACGAGAAAAGTGGTAGGCCAAGGCTGAATGTTTTTGAGAACCACCACCACCACCCATTACTGCACATTCACTTGCTACATATTACAGAAGCCCTATTGTTGTACTACATATTTGTAGATATGTAAATATATATATATATCTCTCTTGAGCTCTAATATTTTTTCCAGGTCATCTCTGATTTTAAATTATTTTTTTTTTTAAAATCTACTGAAACCACTCACCTTCATTAAAAGAATGCACCCTGACATACACAATATGTCATCTCTTGAATATCAGTATATGGTTTCCATATGGAAAATAGCACCTCTTGCCATAGAAGATCACTGATTCTTATCGATAATGTTATTTAGAAAGTTCTTTGATGTCAGTGTACAGTGTGTGGAAGAATGCCACAACTACTCTATGTCTGGAGCTCCTTGAATATCTTATTATTTGTGAAGTAAATAATTTATTATTTTGTCACAGCTTATTATCTTAGAGACAGAAACAAATACAAGTTACAACATTTTAAAATTGCCTCTATAAAACCTTAAGACAGGAAGGACAACTTTGCATGCAACATAAAGGTCTTGTCCTCCTGGTGGTGCAGCGTAAGAGTTCATGAACTATTTGCATTGCTTACAAATGTATAGTAAGTATACTTCCATGAGTATTTTACAAGCTTCTTTGAAAAGAAATTTCAGGGATACTGCCACAGCAGAAGTGTAGTGTTAGTAATCACCAATCCTGAGCGAAATGAGTGAGAACAGGTTATAATTAGATGTTTTTTTTTCTAATTTTCTAAGCTTTCAAGTTTTAGGATTATACACAGATCTATTCCGAAAGTAAAAGGTGACAGAAAATGACTGGAAAGATCAGTATTGACAAACTGTATCGACTGACATTTGTTGCTAACTCCAACTACTACTATACAAGTTTCTACAGTGTGAGAAAATATATACTTTGCTTCAGGATAATTAGAACACATTCTTCAGCGTTCATAAAAAGTTCCAATTTATAGATGAAAGAAAATAAGGAATTACAAGAGCCTTTGTTTTGCAAAGTCACCATTTTGAAGAAAAAGTTGTTTCAATTAAAATTTAAAAACTCAACTTTTCATTCAAAATGTCAGTGAACTTTCAGTTTCCTCTACTGGTAAAATATTTAACCCAGCTCAAAATTATATTTGCTGATAATTAAGAATATTATACTTATGAACAGTGTTAGAGATACATTAAGTCAGTTAAATATCTATTAAAACCAAATATGTAGTAATATCTTTAATATTTCACTGGTCATTTAAGTATGAGGCAAGATGGCCCAGATGAAAAAGATCGTGTTCAGTACCTTTCTGAGTATGATCTACTGAATCTACTAAAATTTCATTCTGTAAGAGATTTAGAAGCAAGTTACAGGGATTTACATTCACAGCCTCTTCTACATTGTATTGCCATAATGTTAAAAAAAAAAATCTATAGATTTTTAAAGCATGCTTACTTTGGCCCAGGTAATTTCTGAATCCAGATCAGAAAGCAAGCTCTCTGAAGTGGACTTCTGCACAAGTTCAGCTTCAGTGGTAGCTAGCCACTCAGACAAAGAGGCAGCCTCTTTCCTCATTTTGCGTGCCAGCTGGGATGCTCTTTCGAGATCTTGCTTTCCCTCTGTCACCTACAATAAAAACAAAAAGGAAAAAAAATCAAACAAAATTAGACTTAAAAAGACAGCAAAAATGAAAGTGCTAGCCAGATAAAACATCCACTTAAAATCCTTCCATTTTAAAACTGTCTCGCATTAGGGAAGGATCCTGAAAAGAAAAATCTGTTATAAACATCTGCATTTTACTATAAAAAGCAGAACATGTAAAACCAGAATAATTTTAAATGAAGAGACACTTAGAGGAGACAAAGATACCTGCATACCAACTTCTCAACTACTCTTTGAGCTAGTAATCACCAAATCGAAGTTTAAACTGAAGTTTAAACTTTGTTTATTATGATCCTTTAACTGAAACTCAAGGGGATACAGAATCCAGTCAGTCACTCTCACACAGGTAAAATTCAGTTTCTTTTTCTATTTCGATAGACCTGCTAGCAAAAAGATGTAAAGAAAAAACGCACTGAAAATCTAATCTGCCCTTGAAAACAGCTCAGTAAAGTGAATATGATAGTTGATGTTTGCTGCAGTAGAATCAATCCCGTTTCATACTGGCTACACAATTAGCCTGGTCAAATTAACACGGACTTAAGATTAAATCCAACCATAACAGTCAGAATCAACTGATATTTTGAAAAATTGTTCCGTTTCAGTTTAGTGTTTACGTGTATTTATTCAAAATCATACACTCTTTGAAGATCCAAAAAGATAAATTCAGACACATACAAAATCATAACATTATACTCAAATAACTCTTTCTATTCTTTCCCAATTTCTTGTCCATATGCTTTCTGAGTTACAGATGTACAGGTTCCACAAGAATCCACATCTTCGTGAACGTTCTCCAATTTACAACAGTAAAATATTTCCTATGGCCCATTCCAGGATATTCCAAAAATGTAATCTGGCCACTTACCCACAGCTTCATTCACAAACATTGAACAAGCCCGAGTCTGCTTGGACTTCTGTCTTAATTTAGATAAGGAACAAAGAAAAAAACACACCTCCTCTATTTCCCTCCCACCTACTAAGGGTTTAACCATTTCTAAATATTTCACTTAGTAATTTTCTTAGCAATTGAATAGTTATTTATCTCAAAATAATATTTAACACAGCTCATGTGAAATGCAGGTTTGCCTGCGTTTTCTATTTCATACTGAGGGCAACTCTTTATATGGATTACGATTAGAAGCCATCATGACATCTTCTCAATAAAAATGACATTGACTCAAATTTCTCATATGACAATCTGATAGTAAAGTATCTTGCAGGCTGATTTACACAAAAACAAGAGGGTACAACAGTGCTCAAAGACTTCAAGAAATAGCAGGCCAGCTTTGCCAGAACAATGAAAGCTCTGTGACCCTTCTTCCTTTCTTCAAGGATACCTCCCTCTTCAGGAACACTCTGTGTTCAGCAGTCTTGCACAATTACAAGATTGTTACATTTAATCTTTAACCTCTGAACAGATTGTTCCTGGATGTAGCAACTAGCCTACACAGTATCAGGGAATTTATATGCAGACAACTGTGCGTATGTAAGTCTGGTTTTCTTACCTGTGCCCCTAAGTCATTGTAAAGGAATTTCAATGCTGTCAGTTGTTCATCCATCCCTTTGGGATTATCTGTCTGTTGTTTCTGCACAATTTGCCTTCCTGTCTTGATGACAGTTTCAACTTCCAATTTCACCTCACTGAGGGTCTTATAGAGTTTCTAAAAAACACGAACACATATATCGAGGATCAATTTGTAGTGCAGTTTCAGACTTTGCAGGATTTGGGGACCTGACTATCAGATTTCACTTAAACTGTGAGCTATGGCTTAAGAGCAAAGCAAAATGGGTAACAGTAGGTAATGAGAAAAACATCTGTCAAGAATATTTCAAATCCTTGATGTTCCATATTTTATTCTAGTTTTAATTTCCTCCACCAAAAAAAAAAAAAAGAACTATCTCAATAATTTAGCAGTGCTTATTCCATAACATCACATGTGGCAAGGCTAACATGGTGATCTGTACTTGATCTTACATATAGTGTTTGTTTTCTTCAAATACTAAGAATCAAGCAAACTTGTCCCTGAAGTGATGCTTCCCCATAAGCTGATGATGAGCCAGGGAAGGGAGCTTATAAAAATCTCAACCATTCTACCCCATCTGTGATGAATAATCCACTACTTTCATGTCCACGTCCTCACCCAGAAGAATCAGAGGCTTTTAGTTATCAATTGTTCTGTTGGTGTTTTGCAAAAAGTTACGAGTTCCAACAGGACATTAAGCAAAATTTCCTCAGGAGAGAGTTTAGGCAAGAAGAATCACACAAGAAAAACAAACAAACAAAAAAACTACCTACAAGCACGAGCTGACGTTGCATACTTACCATGCACCTGTCCAGATGAGTTTGGATTACATCTGGGTCAGTATCCTTCACATCCAAGACATGAAGTTCTGCTTTTACACCATCCAGCACCCGCTTGCAATCCAACATGCGCTGCTCAAAATTGGCTGGTTTCTGGAAAAGCTGATACTTTGTAGATACTTCACGGAGTTTTCTCTGTTTTAATGAATATGTTGTTAGAAGATTGTTTTAAATTAATATCTGCACTTAAAAACCATTTAAAGCATCTCCCTCCACAGACTAACTCACCTCTCGTGCCATCACAACTCAGTACACATGGCAACACTATTTGCAAGCAAAATTCCTATTCCTAATCTTTGCCTCAGACGCAAGAGAGCTATAATTCTGTATCATACACTTTCGAAATATCCATTCAACTAAAATACAAAGCCTTTCTGACTTTTCAGCATTTATCTCATGATACTTATGAAATTTAAACTTCCTTATCCAATTCATCTAATGCTGTTTGTTTCCTAATGAAAGCACATACTATTTACTTCTGAGGTTTGGTTGACCATAACAAGCAATTTACAGGCTGGCAACAGCAGTGTGTAATTGAAAACCAGAAGCTCTTCACATTTCACTTTAGTGTGACTCTCATTTTTACCTGCAAAGCATCCAGCTGAGTTCCGCCACGGG